TCATCGCTTTGCATTGTGTAGAAACTACGTCGTCTCATGTTCATTCAGCGGTAGTAAACTCACAGGATAAACTCTGTCATCGCTGTCGTGCTTTCAGCGTGGGCTAGTGCACGTAAGGGGTAGAGAGCGAGCAGGGAGACAGGGAGGCGCGATTGGTTCACCAGATTGGTACCTCGTGGCAGACATTGGTTGAAGTTTTTACGGGCTTACAAACTGCTACAGATTTTCTTTGTTCCTTTTTCAGAGCACATGAGTTATTAATGTCTGTCAGGACCTAAAGACAATTTCAACCAAAATCTTAAAAAGTGTATTTGGAGAAAATGACCAACCCTGCCTTTAAGGTCAGTTTGTCATGCCTACAATGACAGAGTTTCTGGGACTTTAAATCAAATAGTATCTTTATTTAGTGAGTGATTATGGAAATAGTTACAGCAACACGATGTGGAAATAACTTTTAGTGCATTACAAATATTTACTAGCTTCGAGAGTGTTAATAAAATAATCATAAAGGGTTTGCTTTGTTTTGATATACAACATTTTATTTAAAACATGATTGATTGATTATAAATCATGTCAAGAGCGTCACTTTTTTAATCATTATTTTTGTTAATACTAAAATTGGTGAAAAAGACAAGAGAGACAAGTGGAGCCAGCATGAGGGTTAATGCTGATGAAAAACGCTTTTAACAACCTTAATAATGTATATATGTTTTATACACATTCAGAGTTACAGAGAAGCCGATTTAAACGTTGTGAAAGATGTGCTTTAAGTACTTTTAGGAGGGTTGACCCTATAGGGCTCTAATGGTGGCTGAAAGACGCCAGAGTGTTCAGAATCACATCAGTGGGAGAGTGAACAGAAAAGTAGATCGACTCTGGGTCTGAAATCTATCTGTGTTTTTATTTTATTTTTTTAAAGCATAGTATCACAGTATATTATCACCATCGATACGTGTACACAAAGTCCTTCTCCAGTCTTTCATATGGTGTTAGTGCATAAATCAAAAGAGCCAATCGAGATCTGTCCTGTGTGTCACGCCCTCAGTGCTGAATAAATCTTTCAGACTTTCATTATGAAGTCCAGGTGAATAAATCCATTACTCTCTTACATCCAGAGTGCTCTCTTTACAACCAACATGTCTATATTCACCATGGCTACACTTATACAATACATACCAATGTGTCCACTTCAACTTTCTACTCTTATACGCTTTTTTTCAGATGCTCTTCCTGTAAAAGTGTTTCCTACATTGGTTGTGCGCCCAGGTGTATTTACAACCACCTCAATGTATCATTTATCACCATTTATGCATACAGTATAGAATTTATATGTAATCAACCTGTGAATGATACCTATGTACTAGTCGATAAACTAGTGGACGGTCTGCCACACTCTCTACACACAGGTTCATGTTGCTAGTACTGCCTGACACATGCTCTGTGTCCTGCTTCAATACAATGATTGAGGTGTTATGTGTTAAATATGAATCTCCTCATGAGGTTGTTTAAGTTGTTTTGAGCTGCCGGCTGCTGACAATGAGACAAGCATCTCTTCTCCTGTTGTTTGTCTGTCTCTCTCGCTCTCTCTCTCGCTCTCTCTCTCTCTCTCTCTCTCTCTCTCTCTCTCTCTCTCCCTCTCCCTCTCTCTAAAAAAAGGACACAAGACGAGATCCTAATTACAAAACGTGCAAAAAAGGTTTAAAATTGACAGATTAAAAAAAAAAGGAAAGATCAAAATGCAGGAAAAAAAGATTTCAAGTTCTTGAAATGTTTGAGTGTCATTGTTTGAGTCATATCAAATACCATATTTTCTTTTCACGTTGGAATTAAATTCATTCATTGTGATTTGATAAAGTTTGAGTTTTTTTTTACTCTGTACAATGTTTATGAAGAGATGTATGAAATAAAAAAAGTGGATCTCCTTTGTGCCTCAAGTACAACCCAAGGAGATGTTTAATTGACATGAGTCATCTCTGCTTTAAAATCAAACCTATTTGAGATTAGGAGAATATCTTCAGCTTTCTCCAGGACTTAGTCAAACCACGTTAAACATTTTCATGATGTTTCGATTAAACTTTTTTACATCAGTTACTGTATACTACTTTTATTTCTTCTTCTTTAAAAGCGGAATGAAAGAAAAACATTTTTTTCTGTGTGTTTTCTACAGGGTCTGAAAAGTCCTTTGAGATCTGGATCAAGCGCTGTGAGGAGATGATGGGGGGTAAGTGACTGAACTGAGGCTTCCATCGTAGCCGTTATATTATTGTTAGAATTTAGAGCTGATATTGGTTTCAATGTTAGGATTAAACAAAAATCTAATCGCTCAAATGTTTTGTGTTTCTCACACAGTGTTGCTTACGTCTGTCTCTTGTGACAAAAATGTTTTTGGACTTCATGAACCCTTACCATTCCTCGCTGTCTAGTTTAAAATCTTTCCTCTATCATCAAAAACTAAACTAAACGTCTCAGCCAGGGAGCTGATCAGTCCGTCTGATCAAACAAATGAGCTTGCGCACATCCATGAGTTCACAGTGTGTGTGTGTGTGTGTGTGTGTGGTGTGTGTGTGTGTGTGTGTGTGTGTGTGTGTGTGTGTGTGTGTGTGTGTGTGTGTGTGTGTGTTGTGTGTGTGTGTGTGGTGTGTGTGTGTGTGTGTGTGTGTGTGGTGTGTGTGTGTGTGTGTGTGTGTGTGTGTGTGTGTGTGTGTGGTGTGTGTGTGTGTGTGTGTTGTGTGTGTGTGTGTGTGTGTGTGTGTGTGTGTGTGTGTTGTGTGGTGTGTGTGTGTGTGTGTGTGTGTGTGTGTGTGTGTGTGTGTGTGTGTGTGTGTGTGTGTGTGTGTGTGTGCGTGCGTGCTCACAGTCTTAGGGTGTTTAGGCAGAGCTGCTTATTCCAATAAAAGATGCATGCCGTGTCTGGGCGCTGTGTTTCTGTCTGCCGCTGATGCTGGAGCCCTCTGGATCATCTCAAGTAAACAAGAGCATGAGTTTTGACAAACACGCTTCACACCCTCGTGCACACGTTCTCCCAGGGGCCGTATGATTCATCAGAGTTAACGCTACTGATGTTTGAAAGCTCCCGATGAGACCTAGCCCCCTTCATAGCCTGCGCTCAGACAGCATCCAGACACACACACACACACACACACACACCAGGGTTTACATAGCCCCTCCCTCTAAAACTTGAAAATACCCTACTTGAGCTTGCTAACACCGGGAGCAGTCACTGAGTGTTTCTTCTGGTGACAGTGTGTTTACCACTAACCCACAACACTCACACAAAGACACACACAAACCTGGTTATTCCATCACATGTGGCACCCTGCCTGTTTACAAATACACAAACACAGACACACACAGTCTGCTCCCCCTCCACTCTATTTGAAACGCGACCTCGTTAAGATGACATTAACACGCCTCCCATCAGCTCATCTCTCTCTCTGATGAACTCAGTAAATAATGCATGGTATCATGCTGGATGCTTACTGGAGCTCACAGGGCTTTTACTGGGCGTGGATGGACCAGTATACAAACTGGTGGCAAAGATGGGAGAGTGTGTGTGTGCGTCTGTGTTGAGGCACATCATTTATTTTCTGTTTCTGTTTCTGTGTCTGTTTAAAAGTTAGCATCTGGTTTAAACCCTTGTAATCATAATATTTTAGAGACTAGACCTCAGCCCAGGCTGCCTCAGGTGTGTATGAAAAAATTCCTGCAACTCAATCAGATTTCTCTTTCCTCTTTTCAGAGCGGACACAGTTCTGCAGCGGCAACGAGGTGAGCCCCTCTGCATGGCCACATGGGGGCAGTAGAGAGCTTCTGCCATGTGTATGCTCCTGCTTTTAAAAAAAGGAAGACTGACTGAGCTTCTTTTGTGTGTTTTTTTTGTGTCTTCTTCTCACTTTCTTTCTTTTTCTTTCATCCCTGTGCATTATCACCTCATCATCCTCTCTAATTGTTATTCTTACTCGGGCGCTGAATGACCTGGCAGACACCTGCGGTTCCACCTGTGAAGTAAGTACATTAATATAAATCGGTTTTATTTTCACCATGTCTGTCTTATTTATTGCACCAGCATAAATATTAAACATTCTGTAAAAACAACCATCGCAGATGATATTTGTGTTTAATGAGCTGATTTTTATTCATACAATTAAACTCTGTATACTGTATTCATTACTTTAGTGATGAAAATCACTGAAAATGAAAATAAGACTTCCAACTGCTTGATCAGTTTTGCTTTTGTGTCCTGCAGACACGACTGGTACCAAACAGAGTCTCAAGTCATCGTCACAGTCATGGTTAAAAACGTTCCCAAGGATGGTGTGTGTGCCAACTTCATGGAAAAAGAGGTATAAACACACACACGAATGCACAGTTCAACTGAAGTCACTCTGGGTTTTTTTTTCTATATCGTGGTTTTTGTGTGGAACAGAGATGGGTTTCGCTCTTGGGCGTTTCCTCAGGGGGGCCCATTAGATGGGTCTCATACACACAGACACACAGACATACACCCCCTCCCCATGGACCCATCTATGCCTCCAGTGGTGCCTTGTTAACATTGCCCCCAAAGTACAGATCTAAGAGCAATTTACCCTCCCCAGCTTCTCCAACCTCCTAATTGTCTGTAGATAGAAGACATAACTGATCTCGGATCAGCTTCAGAGCCCTCCAGGGACGACCTCCTTTCTTTCTTTTTTTTCTCTTTTCCTTTGTCTCCTTCCACTTGTCTTTTTCTCTCTCAGAGGGGTAACTGCAGGGCACCCCAGGGAACGGCTTTGTCTTTCCTAATAGAATAACAAACGGAGTTTACCCCATTTCAAAAGAAAGAGTTCACTCTCTCCGTATCACACAGCCACTCGTTAGGCTCCTTCTGTGGTGGAAAGTACAGATAAGTTCATGTATTTTTTACTAGGTCAGTATATACAAAAGAAATTAAAGATGAAAGGCAGTGGTTCCAGTTCTATTCCCTGGTGACTGAGTGTGTGTACCTACAGATGGTGCAGGAATTCAACTGGAAATGAATTTTAAGTCTTTGATGGTTTTTGGAAATTGCCAAAAAAGCTACTGTATCTAACTTTCTAAGCTTTTATCCATGATGTTCTACTTCCAACATACGTTTGAAACCAAATTAGAAAAGTCCAGTTTTAGCGAGATGGTAGGTGTTGAATCTCAGAAAATGACATGACGTGAAATGATGAACTGTGCAGGCAAGTCGAGTGTTTCTTCAGGTGGACATGTTTAAGTGGTTTTGCCATCTGATGTGTGTGTAACGAGTGTGAGGCTTTGGGCCCCAGTCCAGGACATGTCCCTCTAACCAACAAGATCCCACACATCCACACAGCCCCAGTGAGTGACAGGCGGTTAGGAGCTGTCTGACCCCTCCACCACCGGTCACCGTGTGGCTGCAGGGGACAGAGCGAGGATACTCCTGGCTGCCACAGCAGCCACATCAGATCACTTTCCTCATAGCTGACACCTTCACCCCATCACTACTGATCTTTCTTTGTGCGGTTAAATGAATTTAATCTATATTAATGCTGCAGCTTCAACACAGGCAGTGATAAATCTGTATCTAAAATAGAACAGTGCTGAATTCACATGAATTGAGGCAGGCAGAGAGCGAAACAGATGTCATTTTAGTGGATGAAAGCAGGACAGAAAACGAGGTGAGGCTCAGGAAAGCAGGAGAGAAAGGGAAAACAAACTGGATCTGGAATAGGGATGTTCCTAGAGACTAACTTCTCTTGTTGATTAAACTGATATTGAAATTCAGACTAGTCGACCTGTCTAATGGGACGAACCACTCAGACATCAGTCAAAATTGAGCACAATTCATTTACGCGGCTAAAATCATTTTGCGTGAAGTCTATTTAAGAAACAGTTCATCACATTCTGCAAAAACAAAATTGACGGTTCTTCTAAATACTTCTGAAATGTGTGACATTAAGCGGCTTGCATTACTCCGCGGGTAAATCATGTCAGATTGGTTTTCTGAGTGCCGCTAAGATAAGCAGTGCTAGCACCCCCAGGTTACGGTCCTCCTGCAGGTTGAAGTCCACATGTTGTATGCCAGTTTAACCTGCCGCAGCTTCTACTACCTGATGCTGTTAGTCTATTTTGCTGACCTACTGTACATGAGATGAGAGATGAGATGAGATGAGATGAGATTCAACTTTATTGTCATTACACATATACAGGTATAGAGTAACGAAATGAGGTTTGGCATCTCACCAGAAGTGCAAATAAGCAGAAAGTGCAAGAGTCTGTGCTATGTACAGTAATTGAGTGCAAGAGTCTGTGCTATGTACAGTAATTCTGTGCTATGTACAGTGATTCTGTGCTATGTACAGTAATTGCAAAATTTACAGATGTAGCCAAAAAAAAGTGAATTATGAGGTATATCTGGATGGCTGGCTTAATGGGATGCAATAAAAATAAATAAATGCTATAAATAAGTAATGCTACAAAATAAGTGTGTTCTTAGGATTATAATATACAGATTAAGATGCAGTGAGCATCTATACTAATAATATACAGATTAAGATGCAGTGAGCATCTATACTAATAATGTACAGATTAAGATGCAGTGAGCATGCTATACTAATAATGTACAGATTAAGATGCAGTGAGCATGCTATACTAATAATATACAGAATAAGATGCAGTGAGCATGCTATACTAATAATTTACAGATTAAGATGCAGTGAGCATGTTATACAGTTTACAGATAATTTACAGAATATGAACGTACTATAATACAATAATACAGATGGATGAGAGATGTGTGTGTGTGACCAGGAGGAGAGGTGGGGGGATGATGGGTGTGAGGTGATATGGAGGGGAAAGGGGGGTCAGCAGGGTGCGGAGAGAGAGAGGGAGAGAGAGAGAGAGAGACAGAATACAGAGTTCGAATACAGGGAGAGAGAGAGACAGAATACAGAGTTCGGGGAGTGAGGTGATATGGAGGGGAAAGGGGGGTCAGCAGGGTGCGGAGAGAGAGAGGGAGAGAGAGAGAGAGACAGAGTTCAGAGTTCGGGGGGTAGAGTTCAGTAGAGAAACAGCTCTTGGGAAAAAGCTGTTTCTCAGTCTGTTGGTTCTGGTCCGGAGGCTTCTGAAGCGCCTGCCGGAGGGCAGGAGGGTAAACAGTCTGTGGGCAGGGTGGGAGGAGTCTTTAAGAATGCCGTGAGCTCGCCGCAGACAGCGTGTTCTTTGGACATCCTCAATGGCCGGAAGTGGACACCTTGTGATGCGCTGGGCGGTTTTTACCACCCGCTGTAGCGCCTTACGGTCTGCGACAGAGCAGTTTCCGTACCAGACTGAGACACTGCTGGTCAGGATGCTCTCGATCACACAGCGGTAGAAGTTCATCAGTACAGCTGAAGACAGGTGGTGTCTCTTCAGTGTCCTCAGGAAAAAGAGGCGTTGATGAGCCTTCTTAACCAGACTGGAGGTGTTAGTGGACCAGGAGAGGTCCTCTGTGATGTGGGTTCCCAGGAACTTGAAGCTGGAGACACGTTCAACAGCCATCCCGTTGATGTGAATGGGGTTGTGCGTGCTTCCTCTTTCTCTCCTGAAGTCCACGATGATCTCCTTCGTCTTGCTGGTGTTGAGGAGCAGGTTGTTGTCAGCACACCAGGCGGCCAGATGCTGTACCTCCTCCCTGTAGGCCGTGTCATCGTTGTTGCTGATGAGGCCAATCACCGCTGTATCGTCTGCAAACTTGATGATCCAGGCAGCGGAGCGGGAAGAACAGGCCCATTAACCAGAGCTACAGCCCCTGCTAGTGGTGGTTGTCTGCGTTACAGTTAAGACGCAACATTTAACCATCATCGTGGGACTGTGTGAACATTTTTTAATAATTAGTCAACCCAGCTAGTAAACCTGGTGCCGGCTGTATTAAAAGTCTGTAAAAATGACGATCTGAAAGTACACTTTAGTAATAGTTATGGAACAAACTTGATTAGGACTCTCTTACTTATTTTTGTTGATTTCTACCAAATGAATGCCATCCAGCAGGGGCTAATCTCTAACTTCTACTGTCTGTGATCTCTTCAGCTCTCTGCCTCGATAGGGCTGACATCAGGGGAGAACTACGACCTCAGCTTCCATCTCCTCCACCCCATCGTCCCCCACCAGAGCAGCTTCAAGATCCTCAGCACCAAGGTACCACACCCTGTATCAGCTCACGTAGTGAGTCAACATGCATTTGAGATGATTGGACGTGTTGTTTGTCAGACACCGTACTGTGGTTCATTACACACACATGAGGCGGAAACAAACTGTGCTTGCTTTCAACAATAGTTATATTAAATTTCCCACTGTGCACTTAAAGGCACAGAAAAGAAATGCTATGTCAGAGCAGGCAGGGCAGAACAAGCTGGCTTTCTTTTTAACTGGGCTCAGAGTTCTTGATGACAAAATGACTTCAAACACAAAGACAACAAAGCTGTGAGCATACAGTAAATCACAGTCATGTCATTTCTGGATTGTCTGAGGACAAAGATGTGTATTCAGGTCAAGGTAAAGTGAGGGAATATGTTACTACTTCTGCATTATAAAAGAAGTGTATTGACAGACGATATTGTGTAACCAGTTTATGCACGTACGCTAATACTAGATGGTGTTTTCAGATGTGTTTTTTCCTTTGCAGCGAGCCATGCTGTAGTGGAATATAAAAACTGTTTACCACTTTAATACGTTTCTGTCACTGAAAAACATAAACACGGAAGAAACAACATTTTTGGGTCACAGAAGCGCTTCGACTAAGTTTTTGAAAGTCAATGGAAAGTCACAGAATTTTCCCTCATAATCAGCGAGAACACTGTGTGTAGCCTCGGCGTCCTGGTAGTCGCTCTCAACAATAAAGAAGCAGACTATAAAACGTGTCAGGGGACATCTCTTTTATGTCCCTATAAAGAAAATATGATGTAGTAATGTCACACATTGGAGAGATGCAGGTGCTTCTCTGACTCTGCTTTACATCTCTGAACTCCAGTCTCTGCAGAACATCAAATATTCTCTCTGAATTTGGGATAGTGTTGTCCCGACAGCTGAGTGTTGATTCTTTTTTGATGTGAATAAACTTCAGATTTTAAATGTTGGATGATTAAAAAAAAAAAATGGCAAAGAAGAAAAGGGTTCAGGAGAGTTAAAGCAGCTAACGGTGTGTGTGACGGATCATTACTTGGGTTAGCTTTTTTGAGATTAACATCATAATCTCTTCAATAATTTAAAGCAGTATAAAGTCGGCTGTCACTACCCATAATTCCTTAATGCTGCTAAAGCTCACTGTAGCTGAAGTAGAACTGAGAAAATCCACTCTGGCTGTATACAGTGCGGCTCCTGTGGATACGTTAGCGCGGTTCAGATGAGCAGCTAACAGGAGATTCAAACATCTGCACAAATCCTCCCGCACACACACACACACACACACACACACACACACATTTATCAGGGCCGTGCTCGCGGAGAGTTCCTCTGCTCAGTTTAAGGTGATTATGGGCCTAATGAGTAGGAAGGGCACTTTTTTTTTTTTACTAAGGACTAATTAGTGTGTATTCTGGTTGATGTGGGCTAATGAGTGTGCTGGCTGAGTGTGTGCTGATTCAAGGTTGAGACCACTGTCAGGTTTTAGCCTCAGCAGATCAAGAGGCAGGTTTCTGTGCGAGATGTTTTTTATTGTTAGGGGAAGAATTGGTTTTAATGGCATTGATCTGATCCTGTCTTGCCAATACAACATTACCTTGGATCCTCTGTATTCATTTAAACTATTATAATGTTAGTTAATCAGAGAATAACAAGGACAATTATTCTGACAGATACAGTAATTGTTGTATGAATCATGGGAGAATTTTTTTTTTTTTAATCAAAATGTTTTTATTTTCTCTGAATTTCTGTCATCACAATCACAATTATGTCACATTCGTTCTTAAACTAGATTGTCCTCTTATATCTGGAAAGGAAAATGTTTAGGCTCTGACTTCTCTGCAGCATTTGATCATAATTATAAATCAAGTTTCTCTTTATTGGAGAACTCTGATCATCTGATCTCGCACTCTGAGACTCTTCTATTTCCAAAATAAATTCTGATCAATTCAGTAGCTCTCCTTTTGTGTGGAAACTCAGTGGCACTAATATTACAAATGTATACATGTATATTGACTTAGGCGCATAGAAATTGAAGAACAGATGTGACAAAACACAGAAGCCTACATCCAGTGTCTGCACAGTATGGCATTATGAAAAACTGCCAATGAGTCCCAGCCTCAGAGCATCCTTATGTCCTGTTCTGCAACCAGTTGCAGGAGATGATTTTTTTGACCTTTTGAGGTCAGTGGACTTGGCTTGTACAGCACTTTCTTTGTTTCCCACATTACTCAAAGCTGCTTTGACACTATATGTCACATTTACACACACATTCACACACTCATGGAGAGGACGCTACATAAAGTGCCCATCATGATTAACTGATATTATGACAAGTCAGGTAAAACTACGACATAAAATGCCTCTGTAGAAATTCATGGTCCAGTGTCTTGTCCAAGGACTCTTCATCACAGGTTCAGGTTCACAGGTGCTTGGAATCGATCCCCCCCTTCCGGTTGAAGACATCCGACTCTCCCACTGAACCACAGCTGCCCCTTTATCTAAAACAAATACATTATACACACTATAATAGCTAGAATTTTCATTTTTAAAAACAAAAAGCAAGAGTCTCAGTATTTTGCTTCTTCACATTGTTGATTTGTCGGTGACATCATCATGTTTCTTTTATGCAGTGAAAAAAATGAGCTAGTGGGCCCAGATGAATGTTTTCCTCAATCTGTTTAAATTAATTGTGATGGTCATTAGTATAAACAACAAAACAAAACATTATTGCTGGAGCATACTTTAGAAAACTAGGGTTAAAAGCATTTACAGATATTCCAAGAATCAACATCGCATTTAGAAATAATATGAATTGAGACCTTTTTCTGTTACAGTGGGAACTATTAAAGCCTTTGCAATCTGATGATTAATATGAAAGTATATATACAAAACATCAAACAAGTTTCACATTTGAGGGGCATCAAGCGATAAAAAACTCCCAAGATATAAATCACAACACGCCAATTAAATGAAATCACAGAAAGAGGTGTAGGTACTCACTCTCTCTAATGTGGACTTAAAAGTGTTAAACAGTTGCAATAACTTTCTTTTATTGGTTTATTCGTTTATTTGGCAGCAAGGCCACGGGGGAATGAAAAAGGCAGCTCTGGACCACAGGTGCAGGGAAGTCTTCTCTCTAAAGTGCTCAGTAGCAAAAACAATTGATAGTGATTATTAGCGCTGTACAAACCTGACGTCTACATCATGTGCATTTTGTCCACTGGCTGTACAGTGCGAGCAGAGTCTGACCTGCACACAAACTGCCCCCTCTCAAAACAGCACTCATCTCACTCACTGCCTCGCTTTTCCATGGCAACAGCAGACACTGCATACCAGAGGTGCACGTGGGCTGCAGCTTAAACAAGGGCTCAGTCTTACAGAGACCACAGCTGAGGATGGTCTTAGACTATGTTTCATCTGTCTACAGCCTCTGCTTTCTTCCACATTTACCTTCTTATCTTTGTGTTTTCAATCTTTTACATCAGACACATAACACACACACACACACACACACACAATCTCTGTATCTCTTGCTGTCCTGCACTCAAAACATACACACATACACTTTTCTTTACAGAGTGTGCAAACCCTCCTCTCCTCCCACAAAGCCCTGACTGTTCCCTGGTCCACTGGGCTCCTCTGGTACACATGGCCCCTACACACCCCACACACACACACACACACACACACACACACACACACACACACACTCACTCACTCCATGAAGCTCATAAGCCCTCACTGTTAGGAGCTTTAGAGATGTTTTGAACCTTTAAATGTTGCAGCTAACTCTTCTAAAAGTCATCAGGTGAAACGTGTGTGCATACTGAGAGAGACCCCGACAAACCCCGCGCCTGTCGGTGCGTGTCTCATTTACATATTTTGGAGCCGTTTCATTTTTCTGAAGCCAAGAAGCCACTGGGGGGAAAAACATTCAAATGAACAACGGCATCAGCAAATCAACTTTCTCCAGATTGGCATGCATCCCTAATGAGCGTTTAGAAAAAAAATTGCATTGCCCTCGGAGCTGTTGATTCCCAACCAACGTCAGTCTGTCTGTCTGTGTGTGTGTG